TGTTTAGTTTGTTAAGTGTGAAACTTTAATTTTTATTGAATGTTGTGTTGTGAACTATAATCTGTAGAGTTATTGAATGGAAATTTATTTTAGTACTATTATTTGTTTTTAGTACATTGTTATATTTATTTTTAGATAACTCATTCTCAACAAATATTTTTTTATATATTATATGCTATTTAATGTTTTATGTCTTGTAGTTTTTTATACTAGCACATGTAATATTTTAAAGTTCAGATTCAGAAAAAAAATAGAACCTTTAAACGGTAAATCTTTTCTTTTATATTAATTGTTTTCTTTCATCCTATATTTTCAGTTTTTCATGTTTAATTTTTAAAAATTTAAGTTTGGGAGGAAGAAAAATTCCTTTTTAAATAAAGAAACTTAATTTTATTTGTCCTAAATGAGCTATATTTTAAAAAATATTAATTTAACATGACATGTGATAGTAGAGCCTAACTTTGGATAATTATATTTGGGTTTCTAAACAAATAGTAAGCTTAAGTAATAAACTTTCAATAATAAAGATTAAATATAGAGATTAAGGTATTTGGTATGAGAGATAAAGATTATGTTTTTCAATTTTTACTAAAGGAATTTGTATTTTTGAAGTATTGAGAATCTTAAAGTTACATGTAAGAAAAGAAGATTGAAACTTTATTAAATTTTTCAAAGCTAAAATAAATTTATAAAGTGAAGGAATGTGAAAATCTTTTTTAAACTTTAAGAAAAGAATAGTGAAGTTCAAAATTATTAAAGGCTATCTAGATATATTAATCCTTACATAAAGAAAAAAAGAAAGAAAATAAAAGAAAAATATGTGAGGAGAAGCTTGAAGAGATGCATAATCAAAAATTGACTTCACTTGAATGAACTTAAGGAAGAAGACTTAGTTGCATTCTCTAAACTTGTATTTAAGTATTAGCATACTTACTAGTAAAGTTTTCATCAAGTTCTTTTTCATATGGATATTCTAACTTGCTTTAATATGAAAATTTATAATTTTACTTGAAAAGAATAGAGAGTTTAGAAATCTTAGATTTAACTGCTATATATTCTTATACGTTTTGTATAAACTTGAGTTATTTTTAATTTTTTTAAGTTATGCTATAATATTTAGTAGACCAAAATATAAAAATCTAGAAGTAAATTCTTTACTATAAGTCATATTTTTATGTAGAAAAGTAGTTACTTGAAGACAAATAACATGTAAATTTAGAGGATTTTGATGCGCCAAAAATATATGTATTTTTATACCTATATTTTATACATGTTTTTTTGTGATATTGAGTTTTAAAGGAAGAAATTTTTCATGTTTTATTACAAGTTGATCATTTTTTGTTTAAAGCAAAAAGAAAGGAATTTGGAGTCAAACTAGCGTTTTGGAAGAAATACTCATCGCCGACAACACCATTTGATAGAGAGCACAAGAAATAATTCAGACCACGGGCGATGCCGACGACCCCATCATGGGCGTCGACGACGCCAATGTCTGTGTTGGGCAAATTTCTAAAAGATTCAATGAATTTGGATGTTTTTTGAAAAGTTATTGAATACTTCTCTTGGAAAATCGACATTATGCTCTATTTTGAAAGAAATTTGACTAAAGAAAAGGGGGGCAAGTGTGTCATTGAGTTTTCTTTAGTGTTCTATTATGTGCATTATTTAGTGTGGTGAGTCTAAGTGTGACTTCTCCTAAGAGTTGTTGGAGAGAGAGAGAAGTGAGAGATTTCTTCTTCCCTGCATCTTTGAAGAGAGAATCAAGAGTCTTGTAAAGAGAAAAAGAGTCCAAGTTGAGCTACAAGAGATTTGCTTTAAGAAAGAGTTAACGATAAATAATGTTTGTTCATTATTGTTGTATAATCTTTCTTTTATTTATGAAATTCATATTTTATCGTATCTTTCTCATGAGGTCTGAGTAGTTTTTTTTATCTTTCTCCCTACTCTGAGATATGGTGAAATGAAAAGATAATTTGGATGTATTAATTTTAAAATATAAAATAAATTGTGATGATTTTTCATTCTGTTCTTAATTTACTTTTCGATTTGGCCAATTTAAATGTTAACATCTATTGGTTAACATATTATCCGAGAAATGGAGTATGACTTTTATAACAAAATGATAATCACATTTGATTTCATGAAGAAGTGTTATGTTCATGGAATTGGGTGCCAATAAATAATGAAATATATATTATTGAGTGAAGAATTGGAGATTCTAGGGTGACAGACAAAAATCCCCAATTTAGTCTTCGTGTTTAAGAACTAAAACAAGAGTTAGTCTTCAGAGGAAGGGAAGTTGGAACGCTGAAGTGATAATCAATATCCTCCCAGCCTAACCACAGATTTAGAGACTAAAGCTAATATTAGTCAATGATTCTCTATAACACTTGATTAAGGATAGAGAATTAAAATTGCTCCAATTTGACACAAGACATTTTAAAACAATTTCTCTCATTAAACCAAAAACTCATTGTAGTGGGAAAGATGTTTTCTCAAATTAGATTGTTTCATCACAAAAATATAGTTTGGTAGTTATTGTTTAGCTTTGCTATACAATTTTGCTAGTATTTGGTAATTTAGTTCTGATAACACCTTAAACATTTGAAATTAGTGTAGTAGATTTTCTTTATTTTTGTGAATTTCCTAATTTAAATTTTCATTGTGAATTTAAACCTTTCTCATGAGATCGATAATTAGGACTTAAACAGAAAGTCTTGTATTATTTAATAACAATATGTATACTTGCATAGAATCCCAACATAAATTCTTTTAATTACTTATTCATAAAATAACGAATCAAGTTTTTGACGTCATTGCAAAGCGGAGTCAACTTTATTAATTTTATACATCTATAATTTCAGGGATTAATATCCTCCAAAATTAGTCAACGAATTGCCTTGATTATCTAGAATACATAGAATGGAATTTAGTATTTTTTTATTTTTTATGCAAGAATAAGAGTATTTAGAATCTCTATCCCCATCAGTGAAATGGGCTACGCCTGCTATTTGTTTAAGTAAGTCATCTTCCCATTTTATGGCAACAATAAGCTCTTACTGGGCCAAGATCAACCCCTCGACAACCAGTTCCCCCGCAGAATCGAAGTACTGTAGTCTACACAATTCAGCCTCAGCTTTCCTAACCTTGTTATGTATATCACCAAAAAATTTCCAAATTCCACAACCTCAGTATCTTCACAATATTTTTATGTAGCCTCCATAATTTAAACCAAGTATTACAAACCTCCATAGAATACCAGCCTTTAAAGACAATTCAAGAAATCAGAATGATTTGACTAAGTATTTAAGTATTTGAAAGGAGAGTAAATTGGCTTTTCAAGAAAAGTGATGTTGAGGAGAAGAGGTTTGTAATTAGAGCTAGTTCTAGCAAGATGTTGAACATTAGAAAATTGAATATTAGAAAGTCATTCCTGTTCTATCCAACCTCTCAAAGACTCTGCCACTCTTCTAAGTAAAAGCCAACCCAAGGTAACCAAGATAAAACAACCCAGCTTCCATCAAAGCCTTGTTGAACCTAGACCCTAAGTTGCAAATAACCCTATTAAAATCTCCAACAATGCAGTTCTCCTTCAACCCAAAATCAATGCAAATTAATAGATTTTACGGTTCCTCCCTAGCAGAATTACTGCAGCTTGAACAGACAAAGTAGCCCACTCCTAAAAATACTCAACAGAAAGAAGCACATGAAGCAATTATGGGTCATCAAGCACCGCCTACACCAAAATTTACTTTTTCTAAAATGGCCAAATCTTATTTTTCGCATTAGAAACATAATTAAAATTTCCCAAGTTATTGAAAATCTATATTTTATCCGTAGTGACAAGTGGTTCCAAAATAGCAAAACATAAGAGTTTATGGATCCTTATAAAATTTTTGAGTATATCAAGGATGAAGAATCTGCAATTCTCGCGATATTCCAAATTAATAGGTTAATCATTATGAGTTGACTTGCCCTTCCTAGTCAGCCTAGAATGGTTCACAGCTCCACCATCATCAACCAAAAAAAAGTCAACATTCGAGATAATATTGTAATCTTATAACCTTTTTAATTCGTGATTCGCGCTCTTCTTCCTTTAATATCTTTGCACGTTCTATTCTTCCTCTAAATCTTATCTAGCAATAGTTAAAGTCTCATCAATAAGAGTATTATTGGTGTCAATTTCCACAACCACAACAGAAGGATAATGAGCGACCCTAGTTAAAATGCAACCCTCAACTTCATTATGTAAAGTTATATCAACATTGTTTTTAGATCTCCACCTTTCTCCCCATTCAAATGACTTAAAAGTTTCACGTCTCTAACAAACTCATACTCTATGTCCTCCACAACATCAGCTTACATTCATCAATTAATGTCATCCACCATTTTTTCCCATTTCGATCATCTCCAATTTTATCATTGTTTGAGATTGGCATTAGCCAAATTATGGGCATTAACCTCATCTTCTGGAGAAGGCTTTCTAACTTTGGGATGTGGCGCATAATTTAAATGCCCAAATATTCTACAATTGCTACAATATTCTAAATTTGGGATGTTCCACAAAACTTTTTGCCAGTAGCCATTATGCGCCGACCAATCCAAACTTTCTCTGACAAAATTTGTCAATATCCATTTCCACTAGGACTCTAGCGCTTGCAGGCCATGTAAGATTATACTTAGTTATATCTATTTTCATAGTCTTCTAAAGATAGCAACCAAATAGAAAAATATTTATTTAAAATCAGAAAAGCAAACCATATAACAACAATAGGTGGTATAGTTTGAGCATCAAAATCAATTTACTATTTAAGGAGCTTCATATTCTTGTTTTCAAGTTTAAGATATTTTTTAGCAAAATTCTATCCATAATCTTCCTCTCTGCTTAATTGAATCAAAATATGTCGCCCATCTAACAATCCCACCTTCCATTCTCCAAGTAATTTCAAGCTTTTGAATGATTTCTGAATTACTTCCACTATGGGACAGCCATAAAGAAATTTCCACACAAATAAAAATTTATATTACGCAAAAGTATCTGATTTAGATAGAAAAATCAAAGGTTTACCATTATTCTTACAACATTTGCTCACAAAAAGTTGGGCATCATTACCTTCTAATGTATCTTGGTAAGCTTGTGGAAAGATAAAGTCTTAGAGTCAACCACCGCAGTGGATGACCGTTGAGCGACAACATCATCGAACGAAGACCTCCCATATAGAAGCCAAGCAACTGCACTAAGGAAAAGGTAGCAAAACAAACATCTTAAAACCCATAAAACCAAATACACATAGTGAAAACAACACTACACTAGATGGAAACCCAAATAACGAGAAACACAGCACTAAGTCGGACAAAGCTCTTGGTGTAACCCACCGAAGTGCAATCAAACCACAAGGGAAGCAATAACAAGAAAACACAAAGAAAAGAACGTAAGAAAAAAAGGAGAAAAGACTAAGCAATCTAACAAACACTCAAATAAAAAAGATGCAAATCCACTGAAAATCGAAATAAAAACAAAAGGGAGAAGCACAAGAACTACACAACCAATGCAAGGAACACCTCATAAAAATGATCTCGATAGAAACCTACCGAAATCCACATAAATCTATGGTTTGAATCAGAGAACAACCACGAGAATCAACACAAATATTAAGGAAAAACGACTCAAACTGTGAACCAACCACGCAGCTGCGAGAGGGCAAAAATTAAAGAAAACTGAAGTAGAACAAATGAGAAATACCACATGAATCTCAGAGCCGATGAAAGGAACCCAAGTGAACTAACAAGCAGAGTAAAGAAGCAAGGGAAACTATAGATCTCACCGTCTTGCCAGTGAATGATATCTAGGGCAGAGAATCGGAAAATCGCCAGCGCCTGCGCCTAGCGGGTTAATTTTATATATATATATATATATATAGGGCTGTATATATATATATATATATAATTTTCTTAATTTAAACTTCATAAACATAATAGCAAAGTACGCCAACAATTTAAAATTTAAGCACAAACATAATAACCTTTCATTCAACTTCATTTACATCAAGCGAAAATATTTATGCATTTTATTTTGATAAGGAGTGATAGGAAAAGAAAATGAGGAAAAGATAATGATGATAAAAAATAGAACGGGAACTTCTGTTTTATTAATAAGAGATTTATGTTTTAAATTTTATTTCTATGTATAGGGATACTAACTAATCAAGTGTTTGGTAAATTACGCGTAGCTCAGCTTAATAAAAAGCTCGTTTATATTCATTTGATTAACTAGTTGAATAAATTTGAACATTTATATAAATTTTTTATTACTAAAATGAAAAAACTTGAACAACTCATTATTTAATTAGTTCATGTTCACAAAAAACATCTTTTAAAGCTTGGACAAGTTCAATTAGAGGCTCAATCAATTTTTTTTCATTTAAATTTCATGAACAATCACAAGAGTAAGTTCAATTAATGCTTGATTTAGTCCATGTTAACAAAATCAAATAAGGCTTTAAGTTAAAACTGGTGAATAGAATCAAGTAAAGCTCAATTTAGAGCTCATTTCTACTATATTTTACTATATTAGGAAAAAGTTCAGGCTTGATAAGACTCCTAAGTTCTCATGGATGTTAGTTTGCTCGATAAAAATCATTTGAATAGAAATATATTTGTTAATATGTATGATAATTACTCGATCATCATCATATGAGATAGAACTTGAACCTATATCCAACAGTTAGAATGAAAAATTAATCAAGCTTAAACATAAACGCAAAGCTCGATTTGGGTTCGAGCTAAGCTCAAAGTTCAAGCTTTAGCATGATCATGCTCACCCTAACTTCATTCATTTGCCGCCATGCTAAAAAACAGTCCGAAATTTATTAAGCAACAGCTTTTTTCTATTGTACTGGAGAAGTTTTTGAGGTGAGAAATAGATTTTTGTAATGGGATTTTTAGTGTGGGGTTGCAATAAAATTTATAATGGACTGTTTTGAATTTGAAAAGATCTATAATATTCATATCAGTTTTCAAAAAAATTATCTTTTTAACAGTATCTCATGATAATTCTGCGTTCCTGTCGGTCACAACTATCTTATCTGCTTTCTTTTATATTTTGTAGAAGTGAATAACTTTTTTATTAAATATGATTACTAATAAATGAAAACTGAGATAAAATTGTAGTTCAGTTTTCTTTACATGAGAAGAACATTTTTCGATAAAATTATTTTTGTCCTGATTCATTCTACTGTTTTTTACCAGGACGGATAAAGCTGTTAAACAAAAACATTGGCAAATTAAAGTATTACTTAGCAAACTGACACAAGCTTTTCCTCCCATGTCTTGACTTCCCCACCCTCTTCCTCTCCATCGTCAAAAACACATTCTAAGAGTTCAACTAACAATGACGGCCACTCTAATCTCATACCTCTTTGAAATTAATCAAAACAAATTAATTAAAAGACAATAAGAGCAAAAACCATTCAAAATTAAATTGATAAGACGGGGCAATAACATAAAGCGACCGCGAAAATTCATTACCAGTTCTGCAAGCGGACACAAATCGCTTAAATTATATGCACAATTGTAAATAAATAAGTCCACAGAATTTCCTAAGCACTCGTCACAAAAAGTATCCATCACTGTGTTCATACACCGTCGCCGGCGGCAACCCACCAATGTTCCCATCGTCAAAGAAGCCCTCAAGCAACTCTGGCAGGCGTCCTGCTGCCCCCGTACTGTTCATCCCATGAAAGATCTCTTCCTCCATGTTTTCATAATCTATTGGGCACCCCATGATATCTTGCTGCTGTTGAGCCGGAAAAAAGGTATTGAATTGCTGCTGATGAAGATCGAAGCGGGGTAAAACTGAAGTGCTCTGTCGGATTGCGGAATTGAATCCGAAACTGATCGTCGATGATCCACCAGAGATATATGGTGCTGATGGCACTCCTGTGAATTGCTGCACCATGGCGCGGAAGTTAGAGGTGTCAGTCTTGAGAAGAGTGGTGGGAACTCTACGGGTTGATCGGGAGCGTTTTCGGGCTGGCTTTGTCGCCGGCTGACCGTTAGTGCTGCGTGCGGAGTTAACGGCCATGGAGGTGGTGCTTTGATATTGAAATTGGGCCCAATGGGCGGGTTCGACGCTGCCGTCGGCCATTGGCTGCCGTGTGTGGGGAGAGAAAATAAGAACTTGAGAAAATATAAAAAAAATGATAGCCTAGGTGTGTTTATATGGATGAAGAACGGGGATGCGGTGCATGCTATTGGCAAGTATATTTCCGGAGTGCCTTTGGAGACGGATATCTGTCGCTCCACGTGGCGTTATGTGGCGGATGATTGACGTGGGCGCGCTCGGGTTAGTTCATGTGCGGTGGACAGTGGAGAAGGAACGTACGGGCGGAGGAGCTGCGGAGACATACACCTCGGACTTGTGCAAGATAAATTTACATTATAAAGTTTTTATAGTGGCAATTATCGAGATTATATTAATATATCCATTATAAATGTGATTACGTAAGATTTTCTTTTTTTCAGCATTAAAATTTTAACTTCTTATTTTTCTACTGGATGTCTTAACATTTTTTCACCGAATGTTTAAAATTAAGATAAAGCCCTGTTAATAAATCTGATATTTTGCCTTGTATTAAAGTGTTTCTTTATTGCTTTGCATTAGAGGTTCTAGAAATATAAGCGTTCCTAAAAAATTCAGATACATGTATTTTGATTTCATTTGTTAGTTGATTTTTAATATATATGAAATTCATTAGATTTTGGTGAATTTTAAATATAATGTAAATTGTTGCAGGCCAGAAGCCCCACCCACCACCATTTTTCGTTGGCCACCAATTTGGAATCGCTGTCTGCAGACAGCTTGCCACCACCAGCTATTAAACTCATGTTGCCTGCCTTCCACCACTCGCAACTGCAAGAGTCACTGACCACGATCTATGACAGACGACAGCATTGAACCCACCGCTACCATCGCCGCCGCTAGCATCGGGATTGAAACAAACCTTTCTATTGAGGAGTGACAAATTTATTAAATTAATAAATTTAATGTTTGCTGCACTTCTCCATTTAGATAACAAATGATGCATTTCAGCCCCTTGATTAGAACCACTTTACAAACTTTAAAAGAAGGTTAAGAAGACAACTTTTTGAGATTTTAACAAGATATTTAATCAATAAAAGTTTTTTATTGGTCAAAAAATAATCAAAGATAAATCATTATAAGTTTAATATCAATAAGAAATATTTTGCATATGAGCATGCTAGAGAGGTTTAACAAATTGTCGAAGCGAGGCCGAGTGAAGCTGAGCAGAGTGAGCCTTTAGCAAGAATGCTAGAGATGTGAGCGAGGACAAGTGGAGCATTGCAGTTAGGCAGAGTAAGGGCGAGCTCAGCGAGTCCTATGTTCCATAACGTATTTTAAATATAGAATAAATTATGCCACATAAAATATTTTCAATGCAGCATAAATTAATAAATTTAAAAATAACACCACTTTTTCTTATCGAGACTTGAAATTACTATATACAATTTTATATTTATATTGATTTTTAATCAAAAAATGATAAAAAAATGTTAACAAAAAAAACATAAAAGGAATATAATTTTAAATTACTGTATAATCATGTATTATTAATATTATTTTCATTTCATTAGACATTATAGCATGAAAATCATTTAATAATTTTTAAACACACTATAATAATATTTACATACTTAACACCTAAAACTATATTTATCGTACATTTCTTTCATATGCATAAAAGTGTTTTTAACCGCTTAAGAAATAAAATAGGGATATTTTTCATGTGATGGATGAGTTTGGGTGGTACAAATGTAAATCATAGAATTTTTGTCAGAGATATGTAAATACATAAAAATTGAGTGGTATGTGTATGTAAATGCTTTCATTATAATGCATCAGTTGGAATGCAAATGTTAAAAGTCTAACTTTATGTCCAACATCATTAAATCTAATGCTATTTAAAGAGAGAAGCATAGGTACCATCTCAGCCAAATCGGAACACAGCATGGGCTCAAGGTGGCTTGGATTTGACTTGGATATAATTTGTAAGTAATTTAACATTAATAAAATTATTTTTTGATTTAACAAATTTCAATTAATTTGATAAATTTTGTATGAAGGGTAGGGACAAATATTCATTATTAGAGGGGCCAATGACCAAATGACCCCATCAGCCTAAAAAAATTGCGTGTTGTATAATAGTCATTAATATTCTTCAAGAAAATTTTGTTATAATTTTAGCAACCTTCAAATTATAAAAATTAAATTACATCGGTCTAGTTAAATTTTCTTTTGTTATAACATGAACTATAATTAATAACTCTGAATAATGATCGTAATTGAGTATTAAGACTAATTTTCAAGATAAAAAATTTCCAAATATATTTTGTACTTTTATTTGTTGTATATTATAATTTTATCATTTATTAAGGTTTTTTTCTCAACAATTATACCTATTATATATACTTTGTTATTATTATTATTTTTTTTGCTTTCAATTTCCCTTAAAAAGCACTGTAATTCGAAAAATCACAACAATACCGAACATTTATTAAATCAAGAAAAAGAAGGTATTTTAATATATTTTTTAGAAATTAGGGGCGCACCCTCAACTGAATAGATTGGAAGGCAGTACTTATTCAATATTAGAATCTCGGCTATAAGATGATGCAAACTATAGATTCAAGAGAGAACAGGTAAATGAAACAAGCCAAAACTCTAATGTAAAGGTAAGTTTGTATATCACCCAGTACAGATACACATACAATAATATATATAGACTAACAAACTTGTCAAAATTTCTGACCTCCTAGCTTATTAGTTTGATTTGGCTTCCCAGTACAGATACATATACAATAATATATATAGACTAACAAACTTGTCAAAATTTCTGACCTCCTAGCTTATTAGTTGGATTTGGCTTTGTTGAGGTGGGTATGCATTTGTGCATATGGTTACTACCTTCTTCAAAATGATGGTTCTTAGAAAGAATTAATCTGCAGTTCAATTTTTAAAAAGTTAAACTACTATTTTTCCAGAAATTCGGTAATGTGGCCAGCAGGTTGTTCTTGTTTGTTTAGGAAATTAATTCGAATTGGTCCAAATTGAATTTGATCCGTGATTAAATGGTTGTCAATTATGATGTGTTTAGTTATTGTGTGGAGGACTAAATTGGTTGTTATTGGCCTTACTGAAACATTATCACAATAAAACATTGTTGGTTGGATTTGTTGTGTACCGAACTTTGTAGCTAGTAGTCTTTGTAGCCATAGAGTGTCAAAAGTAACATCTACAATAGCATGGTATTCTACTTTTGTGGTGGAAAGGGGCACCATTTGTTATTTTTCACTATCTTGGATTCATAAGTGCCTCCCAAAATGTGTAAAAACATGAAGTATAGCACATTTTTGTTATGCCTTGCCTATTTAACATTCATATATATATGAGGAGTAGTAGCTCACCATGTGCAATCAAAAATAAAAAATCTATTGTTAGAGATACCTCAGGGTTCACTTAATAAATTATAAATGGTGTGCAATAAGGTTGTGCATATGTCGGAGCAGTTGGTTAACTACAAAGGATATATCATATCTTGTGATTGTAAAGCATTGTTTACCTTTAGTCACTGTCGAAGAATTGTAGGACTGTCAAGAGGTTGAGAAATGACTTAGTTGTATGAAGATTGTCATGGTAGAGAACGAATAGCAGTTTGTAGACTAGCATAGCCATATTCATCGAAATTTCAGTTAATTAACATTACTAAGTAAGAAACATTTTAGATGACTGGTGAATCTTGATTCGAAAAATTTGAAAATATTGCCCATTTACTTAATTTGGAATGCAGTGCTAAGTTGAGTTTTTTTATGATTATTTAGTGTGACACTTGCACCTACGATTAGAGTATCATTGATGTAGAGGAGGACAATTATCCTTTAGTTACCTTGAAATGAAATCAATTAATAATGAAAGATCCTCCTTACTAATGGTAAAGCTATTTTCGCTGAAAAATACATATGTTGTTGTTTACCTTTGTCAAGGTGATGTTTGAGTCCATATAACACATTCTTAAGTAAGCACACATAATTAGAAAGTTGGGGATTGACAAATCCAATAAGCATATAGACTTTTTCTTGAATATTACCTTGAAATAAAGTATTTTAGACAACAAATAAAGAACTCCTTAGTCTTTATTAAAAGTTATAATGAGAAACATTCAAAGTGTAGCCATCTTAGGCATATGATTAAAAATATTATAATAATTGATGTAATACTCCAAAATACATTTTCAAGTAACCAATCTTGATTTATGTTGTGCCACGAAGTCATCAAATTTAAACTTCATGCATTAGGTTCATATACATCAAAGGATTGGTTGAGTGTGTTGCTTTGGAACTAATATTCAGGTTCCTTAGTCTAGAAGGTAAAATATTTCATCATTCAAAACTTTCCTCCATTGAGTGATTTGAGCTCATAGGTTTATGATGTCATATCAATGTGGGAGTGGAGCTAGGGAGATAGATTCATGCATTAAATTGATTTAGGGTTCTAATTTTTATTGTAGTTAGTATGGCGTGAGAATTTCTTAGAGTAGATTTGGTGTTGGTGGAGCTAGTAGGTGGAAGAGGATAATTTTATATAGGTATGACCTCACGACAGGGATGTTATGTAGTTGAATCATTGATGGAGTTTGTTGTTTTGATCAAATTAGTGATGGCTACTCTGTTTTGATTGGTTCTGTTTATTGGCATGGGTATTAGAAGAAGTGAATTAGATGATATCCGGTCTAGAATTAGTGGGGTAACAATAATAGAGACACAAAATTTCTTGATCGTTAAATATGATGTGATGAGAAATAATGGTCGTCCTTATTTGTTGGTTATAGCATCAAAATCATTTGTGGTTCAAGGAATAGCCATGGGGTGGAACGTAGTGTTAATTTATGTAGTGAGTAAGGTTTAAGCCATATATGGAAATAACAATTGAATGATCATTGGTAGGAATATGTTGGGGGATGCTTATATAAGAGATGATATAGGAATTAGAATTGGGCATTTTGAATGTTAGGCAGTCAATAAGGTTTGTGGCCATGAAAAGTGTGTTGGTCAAAAAAATTTAGTGGTATA